ATACATGCAAATAGTCTTTTGTTTGGGTAGTGAAGGATCATATGAAGTGGTCCTCAGAAGAAATGCTGCCTAATCTGTTTACTGCCTAAAGGAAATTCCAGAAGCACGTTAAGAATGGCAGTACTGGGTCAGATAAAGAAATGTTCATCTACCTCTGTATCCTTTGTCTAAGAGTAACAAGTTGCAGATACTTTGAGAAATTACACTCTCTATTTGTATTTGTATCTGTTTCCTGGTTTGGGAACACTTAATCCACTCTTTTACAGGCTCTGGTGTACCCATCTTCAGTAAATTTTAAAAATTGAATTTTTTTTTGTTTGGAAACCACTTGAATGCTTTGCAGTAGTTTGCGCTAGCAGAAGGTACTTTGTTTTGCGTTACACAAGTTGCCGGAACAGAGTAAAGCTAAGGTGGCTCAAGTAATGACCTGGCTAATTTTGTCCTTATGCACGACTGGTTTTGAGACACCTACCTCAGTGTGAGAGAGCAGCACCGCCAGGTAGGCAGCGAGCTCCTGGGGCGGCAGGAGTGCCTCCGTGCAGACCGAGGCGTATCTGCCCTGATAGCCTCCTGAACTGCAGTGGGACCCGACAGCACGTCTGACTTGACGTGCTGTTGTGCTGGACGGTGTACAAATATCAGAAGTATGTCATGATCTTAATTTGTCGCTGTGGGACTGCTGGCACGGGTACGCGTGACTCTTGCTCAATTGAACCTTTTGTTCAGGGGCATGGCTGTGTGGGTTTGCAGACAGCTACAGTAAATCCAAAACCCAGGGACTGTCGCCTTGGTGGTCTGGACGTCCTCGGTCTGGCCATGCTCCCAGGAGCTTCCGAGAAGCCGTGCTGCCACTTGTAGCCTTCCTTCATCTCAGAAGTGTCCAGTGACTGCTGAAGTCTGAAAAAAGTTGAAGCCTTCAGTAAAAGGGGATTTCCAGACCTCTAGAGAAAGCTGCTCTGTCTCTGCTAATGTCAGGTCCCTTTCTTCACAAAGAAAGAGGGAGAACGGAAGTATAGATGGTATTTTATTATTTATACTTGCAGATCTGCTTCTTCCCTTTTCTAAGCCCTATTTACCTGCAAGATTATCCTAAATGACTGACTGGATAACCTTTGTTGAAGGAACCGGGACGAGAGAAGCAGCAATAGATGGATAGCAACGTGCTGGTCAGGGTAACAATGCTGTCTCCTACTGATAAATACTCTTCTGAGCTAACTTGCAGGTGGGAACAGTAGCACTTGGAGCTGAAGAAGTGATTAAAGAGCAAATGTGCAGACATCAGAGCTGCCATGGTATATGGCTGTCTGATTCTCTGATTAAAACACCAGATTTAATGTTTTCTTTGATAACTGAAATGCTTATCATGCTAGCACAAACAGCAGCAAACATTGCATGTCATAGTTGAGGGAGTGCGACTTGAAAGGCTTGGTTATAGATTGAAAAAATAAACCCAGATTGTCCTGGTTACTGATACGTAGAGATAACACTGCCTGTGAGTGGACTTTGGCTCTTAATGCGATGCAAGCATGTCGCCTTTTGCGTCGTGCAATGTAGGTTTGCAAAAGGACACTGAAATCTAACCTGTAAGGGTGGTGTGTCTGGCTATATGAAATGCTAATGCTTCAAAGGACTCTAAAAAAAAAAAAAATAAATAAATCCTGCTTCAGATCCTTCTAGCACTCCTGCTAGTCATTCTGTTAAATCATCCTTGGTCGCAGATGCTGACTGATGGAGAAAATAGTACATGCAAACAAGTCAGGGAGGGCTAATGCTTAGCTAGCTTCTAAAAATACTACAATAGCTGGATGGTACAGTAAGTTAAGTAACATGCTTTAATTTCATATTGAGAGCATTTATTGGAAGAGGAGGGAGAGCTAGGGATTAGAACATGGAGCAAAAGCATGATTTACCAGGAGCCTGGTTTCAGCAGTGGTGGGGGGATGCTGATGGACCAAAGCAGGTGCCCACCTTGCTGAGGGCCCCGACCCTGAGTAGGAGCCCAACAGCGAGACTGCTGGCATGGAGCAGTTCTATAACAACTTTTTTTTTTCTTTCCCCCCCTCACCCTTTCTTCTTTTAACCTTGTTCCAGTGTCTGTCTGATCCCTGCTGCAGCTGGCCAAGTGCCACTGTTTGCCTGTGCACAACGGACACAAACAGCTTCTGGAGGGTCATGTGAAACTACCCTGAGCTCTTTAAATCGCACCGCCCTTAGCTTTTCTCCTCTGGTGCCAGCATTGCTTTAGCAGGTGTGGCTTTGTTTATGCACGTCTGCCGCTTTACTTTCGCACCTGGGTTCTGCTGGCCCTCCGTGCCTGGAGGAAACCTTTGGATCCACGCTTTGCTCAAGCCGCGGGAGAAGTCTGTGGGACCTTCTGGGCAGGGGTTTGGGCCTAATGAAACGGGCAGGGGCTTCAGCTTTGTAAGGGCAGCACCAGCAATCGTTAGGCATTGAAACCCCTGCTTCTGAAATCTTTGATGTATCTTACCGTGACTTTGGCTTAAGCTTTGTGATAAGGCCTGTGGTTCTCAGCATTTTCTTGGGAGAGCTGTAAGGTGATTCCAGAGAGGGCACATCCTATTCCCCTAAATTATTGGTAATTGCTAATTAAAAAAAAAAAATAAATAATCTAGTCTGTTTGAGGAGTTATGGGCTTGCAGCCAGCTGTAAGCCTTGAAATAAGGTCTTCTCATTTAAATATTTGAGTATTACTGCTGGGGGAAACCCGAAGGTAAAAAGATGCATCTCAGCCCCATCTCACCTCTGTTACTACATAGTACTGCATGAATCTTTCCCTCCAGTAGGGACTCTCATGTGTTGGGACCACTGAAAAAACATTTAGGTGTGTAATAAATAGCTTATAACTGGTTTTCTTGTTCCACCTTTCATTTGTGTTGGGATGCCTTGTTGTTGTTCTCAGTCAAGAGGCAATATGCAACTGCATCCTTGCATTGGATGCCCAGGATGTTCTGCTGTGTTCTCCCTGCCTGCGATGCTCACCTCTCAGCCTTTGTACTGCCAGCTATCAGCTTCAGCTTTAAGTTTGGACTGGAACTTTTCCTAGATAAGCATCTCCTCCCCCTTGTTGTCCTTGGAGCCTTTGAAAGAATTGTGCTGAACTTTCTGGGGAACAGACTCTGAATTTTGTATGTGCTTTCTGCAGTTGCCTGCTCTTGCTGCCAGTCCCATATTTCCTGCCTGAAATTTAAAATTGAGATGTTGTGGGCCAGGTCGGTGCTGGCTGTGTGGTATCCCAGAGAAAATGAGATGCATCTAGTGAAAAAGAACTAGTGCTCCAAAAGTGGTAATAATGTTAGGATGCAATACCCTGCGGCTGCAAGAGATTTGACAGAGAAAGGAGCTCATGAGTTGCTTGTTCCTAATTTGTATTCAGTTAGCTTCAGTGAAGGAGCTAACAAATATTGATGCATTTCAAGAAAGAATGAACAAATACAGTTGTGCTGACAGGAGGTCTGATTTTTATTTTTATTTTTTAATTCCTAAGAAGCAACTACAAAAATTTGTGAGATTAGCTAGATGCGGTTCATGAAATAGCAGCCAGTTTCATGAAAATCACTGGCAAGGATGTGGAAACCTATAAGGGGAGGTAGCCGATAGAGAGGCAGAAGCCTGAGTGGTCCCAGTTGTATATGGCATAGATAGATGGATGCCATATGTATCTTATCATATATTGTTTACTTGTAAAAACCTCCCTTAGTCATACCAGTGTTGGCAGTTCTTGTCTTATAAACGCCTGCGGGCTCCTGAATTGAACCCTGATGGTGAAGGCACTCAAGAGCGGTGCTTGAGTACTTGATCCAAAGCTCAAGTATCTGCTGTTTGACACACTCTCTCTGAAGAAGAGATAATGTAATTTATTTCAGATCCTGTATAACCAGATACAGTTCTTATCCCCAAACAGTACATCCATTATGCTTTTGAGCATTAGCTTATATACTGTAAACTGGAAATGTTGGGCTGAGAGCCTGCGGTTGCGCACGGTTGAATTGCCACTTACTGTGTGGATGTTATTGCTCTGCTGTAATTACAACGTCATTTGCTGTGAAGGTGGTTCCTATGTTTTGACATAAATGCGGGTCATACCACTGTGTATTTATCCCACACTTTGGGCACAGCAGGAACATGTATACAGTCACGTATATCACTGCAACAGTTTATGGTTGGTGATATATCAATGCAGTCAGCTTTATGCACTTGCTTCTATTTTTCCATACCCACCCTTAACTGGTGTATGCAAAGGTATGCCAACTTTGTAAAACTATGTACCTGGTCTAAATTTCCTTCTGATACTTCCAAAACACAACATGACTTATCTTGCTTTTCTTATTTTTTGTTTATACTTCAATTTCCCTGCTTTTTCCTAGTAGTCATCTTTGGCAAGATCTGTGAGAAACCATGATATTTTAGACTTAGCCAAATTCAGTTTGTGTTAAAACTTCTTGAAACCTGATCTTCTGAGAGTTCTAGTATGAAAAAAAAACCAAACCAACCAACAACAAAAAAACCAGGTTGGCATCCAGAGCCATGGATGTTTATCTAAACTGAACTTCTGATTCCTCTTGAGGTTTAGTAGTTCACTACTGAGTCTGTTTCAGTCCAGTTAATTAGTTACAAACCCCTAAGCCACAGACTTGGAATTAAAGAAAACAAAGCCCCAAGCCTCTGCATAATTTGATGCAAGAAGAAACTTTTGTTAAACTAGGAAGTGCATTTACATCACGATTTCCCAGTTTGAAATGCAAACTGGTGTACAGATGAGCCAATGACATAGTCATTGATTCTGGATTCATGCCACGTGTGTTAATGTGACAGTCTAGTGTCCCCTTATAATCTCTCCCCCCCCTCCTCTGACATTGGTTCTTCCTTTCAGAGGTATGGTAGGGATTGTTTTTTGTATCCGTGGTTTGGCTCTGTAATGCAGCTTACAGGGAGTACAGAATGCCTGTTTTTGATAAGATTTTCTGCTCTTCTGTTTTTAGGACAATGTAGATCAAGCTTCGGCTCATGGTCGACGGGATCTGGTGGAACCAGGTTTCCAAGAACCATCTAATCGCATCTCCCTGAATCACCAAGGTAAGGAACAGTGTGTGGGAATCCATTCCTCAGGGGGAATGCAAAGATGATTTTGCCTCCATGTTGCTGTTTCTCCTTCTCATTAAAAAAACCCCAATGTTCTGGATGGTTGGAGGAGGAGAGCTGAAGAAATTGCTTTTTGTCACAACTGTCCTTTGAGCTATGGATGAAGATGACTAAGAATGTGTGGTGCATCTCAAGCTGTGTAAACCAAACTGAGTTAGCTAGCCTGGGTGGCAGGGATACTCTCCTGGTTTTAGGAGGGGGGAGGAGGGAAGTGCTGAAATTGAACTCAACGTTTGCAGTGTTAAAGTTGTATTTATAAAATCTTTGACAGCCATAAGGTTTCAGGGTTCTGGCTCAACTTTTGCTGAAGCAGAAAAGAAAAGGATGTTTACTTGCTTTGGATGACAAAAATCGGCTTATTCAGGGAAAGAAAGTCCTGAACTAGATGTTGTAATGCTGGTGCAATAATCTAGGTTCTATAATTCCATATATAAAAAGCTAAAATAAATCTTAAAATCTTTATTTGCCAGTTTCTGTCTTTTTATATACCTACAAAAGACAGTTACTATTATAGCAGAGACTTTTTAGCTCAGGTTTATTTTTTTGACTTTGAAATAACACTAGAAAGTCCCATCTTAACCAGTGAGCCCCCTTACCCTCAGAGTTTCTGATGGCTTAATTTTGAACCACATCCTTGAAGGTCATCTTCAAATGTTGTTCTTCAGTGCAACAGCTAATAGCATTGCAGTCAGCACTAAAGCTAATTAAACAAAGATCACGAACATATTACTTAAAATATTTGCCAAATATGACATGCTTAACTTTTCCTTTAAAAATCTGGCTTCTTTCATTTGCCAAGGGCAGCAAGAGTGGAATTCATAACTTGTAGATCCTCAAGATTATTTAAGTTTCACAAACAATTCCCAGAATGTAATGAGGATTGTTTTTTAGTTTAATCCCCTGTCTGCGTGCCAAGTCTTCCAGATTTTTAAAGCTTTGCTTTCAGTTGAAAATAGAAGATAGCAGGTTGCCATTTTACCCAATCTAAAACTTCTGGTAGCGCAGGCAGTGTGTTGCGGCATGCTTGCGTGCATACAGCACACAGTCTATAAATGCTATTTTTCGTTTGTATTAGAATGGTACTGTTACATAAATGTCACCTACCCTGGGACCTGCAAATCCTGGAGTAGATCTATATAGGTGACTTCTGAAGCTATTTATAAATATCCCCCTTTATTTGAGGGATTTTTTTGGGGAAGCATCCCGCATGAACAAAGTTCATGCATTAAAGTTTGTGTGGCTGCTGCTTATGAAGTCTGATCATTTACTGAAGAGACAGGTAATGCTGTGTTTTGATGGCAAAATGCCAGCTTTGCAGCCTGACATTCTCCTGCTTCCTTTTCAGATCCTTCTTTTTCCTCTATTGATATTGCAGTGCTGCAGAAGGATCCGTACAGTGTCACCTGATGTGTGGCTCTGCCTCAGCCACTTTGAGACAAATGTCTGTATGTGAACTGGCCCAAATTAATTTATGAAACAGCTCTCTTTAAAGAGAATGCTTTGCATAGTGGGTACTGGCAGTTTAGTGCCTGTTCATAAAGCAAGACCCAGTTAATGTTTTTCCCAATACTTTCGGAAGTAAAGATAACTTTAGCACCCACCATTTTTTTTGTCAGCTGACGGACAGCAATTAAATCCAGTACTTCTAAAATCGTCCTGATTTTGTTGCTGAAGTTGGTATTTAGAACATTATTAATCTTCCCTGCCCCCGTGACCATGAACCGCTGCTCTGCAAGTGGTGTGGATTAAGAACTGAAACCTGAGTGCCCAGTGGTGGCCTCTGATGTGGTGCTGGGTTGTAGGGCTGTAGCACTTCTGCCTTCTTGCAGTGTCTGAGGGAAGCCATGTCCCCTGCAGGCACGGTACCTGCTGCTGCAGAATTTTTTTGGAAGTGGCTGTAAGCACAATGTTATGTCATGTCTTGTGTGTTTGTTCTGTCCAAATGTGAGCGTCCATGCTCTTTCATAGCATATGAAATAGACATTCTTGTCCAATAACTTAAAATACTTGTACTTTCAAGAGCTGCCACATATTCCAGTAACTGATGAATGAATAGTACATAGGAAAACAAACATGAAGAACTTCAGAGGGAGTTGTGACATGGTCTGAACTAGCTCTCATGCAGTCCTATTAGTCACACAATAAATAGGAAGACTAGGTTATTAACATAAAGTGGGTTTTTAAGTTCTGTGGCAGCTGTTTGCTTTGATTTTTTTTTTTTTTTTTTTTAGCCTTATACTAAAATTACTTTAAGTTTTACTTTCTGTTAAAACTTTGCTGACGTTGACTTCAATTAAAACCTTAAGTGTGAACCTGTACCCACAAGTAACTTGCAGGACCACTGATTGCATTTAATAAATTAATCTTTTTGGTGGTATGTCTTTATTATGCTGATGATAAAGATATTTGCAACAAACTACGGCAAATTTTCCTTTGTGTTATATATAACATTACTTGCTGACTTCAGCTTATACTGCCTAGCAGATTTAAAGCTTTTATTCTTGTGTTTCACAAGAATGTTAAGGAAAAATGATAAGCTTGCAGCAAAACTGGTTTAATATGAGTAGAAATTGTAGCAGGATTGGAATTGGTTAAAATACTTTGTGTTAGATGCTCTCTCCATTTTTCCCTTTAGTGTGCTGTGCCTTAAGCACTGCAGCTGAACTCTGAGGAAGTGTACTTACTATGTTATTTTATGTATGCACTTCCAATTCGTACCTGACCACATTGCTCAGTGAGCGCAGCAGATGTGCCAGTTTCTGTTGAACATTAACTTATAGCCCTTTGCTTTTCACTGGGAGAGCTTTGGTACAAGCACTTGCAATTCTGAACCAGACCCTGCTTTCCATGGCCTATAAAAATGGTGATTAGCTTCCTCCTAGGCATCTGAATCCCTTCAACACAAGCTGGAAAAAGAGCATTCAAGTGGAGACTGAGATATCCCTGCCAACTGTCCCCGTGTGAATAAGCTCTTTCTTGTGAAGGGTATTTCAAGTACATGTTTCCTGCTGAATCACTCTTTTTACACAAGCAGATGCTTTATAACTGTTCAGCTTTTTATTTTAAAAGAATATCTTGTAAAGATTGGGGAGCAGAGAATACTTCTTGTAAAGTGAGGGGTCTTTAAAATAGACATGTTTCATATGAAACATGTAAAAAGTTGAGTGCAGATGGAATAGTTCAATAACTGCTTATGTGTAAGTATGCTGATAAACTCGCTTACTTTAATGATAAGTATTTTTATATCTAAGCCATGATTTAGTATTCACTCTTCAATGATTCTGCTAGTTGGGCAAATTCCATAAAGGTACTAAACGGAGAGAGCAGGAACTAGGATTTCTTACCTCTATTCCCCAAAAGCTACTTCATAAACTCAATGCAATAGGAAAAAGTGAGCTTCATCCTGCCGAACAGCACTAATATCCCCTGGTGTAGAGGAACAGATATGCCTCAGCTACCTGTTAAAAGTTATAGAAAGTTAACAACAGCCAGCTAGAATTTGGCATTTAATAAACAGCAAGTCGAGTATTTCTCAGGCAGACCTTCCAGAAGCTGTAGTAAAGCCTCTAGGCTTGGAGAAGAAAAATATGTCTAAACTATGTGGCATTTCCTGAAGAGTTAAGGAATGAGGTTAAGAAACAACCAAAACAATTATTTGCCATCTTTAAAAACACCAAGAAGCAGAGGAAGTGAGAGCATGCTTAGGATGGGACAGGTATCGCTATTTTTCTAACTTTTTTTCCCTTCAGAAGAGGAGTGTGGAGATGAAGGAAACTGTAGCCTCCTCAGACATGTCTCACTTTGCAAAACGTTTAGGACTCACAAACGTTTAATATTTTCCAATGACAAGTTCTCAGCAGTGTGTAGCCCACAGCATTTTTACCGTGTTCAGTAGTGAGAGGCAGAGCTAGGACTATGGTGGTGATTTTAGTCAAAACACTTGCATTCACGGAGAGATGATGTTTTTGAGGCCTTTTGTAGAGGTGATGGGCTCCAGCACTTGTTTTCCCTGCCCGGTCCCAAAGGATATGCTGCTGGTTTTCCTTTCTCACCAAGCATCTTGGCAGTGCAGCCTCGGTGGTTCCTCTTGGTTGAGCACACCTCTGTGTGGTGCCACCACAGTTAATCTTGAATGTGTCCCGCTAGCAAGGCAAGACAAGGCTATCCTATGGATTTCCCTGCAGCCCTGCCATGTGAAGTATGATAGCAAAATACCTGATGCTACAGAATACCGTAAGCCCAACTGAATTTTTTACTCCCAGACTCTAGGAGGGTTTGACCTGCCAGCTGTGCTACCACTGTTTCTTGTCTTGCTCTGTACATCTGGGTTTTCCTTTGTTGAGGCTTGTTTCAGAGCTCATTTTTCTGTTTGTTTTTCTAGCAAGCAGCAAATGGTGCCAACTCCAGTCCTGGCCGTGAAGTTTATGGGCAATACCTTTTACTGGTACTTGACATGTACTTTTTGAGATTGTGTAGCTATTTCTTATTCAGGATTTTGAAGCCAGGCATAAATAAGATGCATTCTGTCACCTTGACTTTTAGTGGGAGTATTAGACATGCAGTTCTGGCACTTTCTGTATACGTGTACCTGTGGGATGCTTGTCAGTGTCTATACAAATGTGTTTTGCCATGGGTCTGTGATGAAAGATGTATCTTCCTTTTATTAATGCATTTGCATGTGGCCTTCCTCTCCTGAGGCACTTGGCTCTTGTTGGACTTGATGAGTTTTGTCACAGAAGTTTGTAGACAGAGCTGAGCCAAATATCGTGGTACCTCTGGCTCCATAGCCAGGTGGCTTTGGCAGCAGAAAGAAAAAGGTGATACGGGTTGTGTTAGCCCACAGCTGTCCTTTGTCGACAGCCAGCTCATCCTTTGGTCTCTCTTAGTTGGTCATGGTAGGAAATCTTCCCTGCAGTGAGACGATGAGGATGCCG